TTAGAAACCGTCGCGACAGAGCATGTGAGAAGGGAAATCTCCGCTATACTTACCTGTGTATAAAAAACCGAGTGAATGTTGGTTTTGCGATGGATCCGTTTCAAAACTTTCAATCGGCGAGGTACATAAGTGAAAATCTGGTGGGAGAGCGGGATTCTTACTGAAACTTTGGAAGAGAACCTATGCAGGTCGGGCGCTACATTTTTTCGATCGCGTATTGGTGCGAACTTAGGTATTGTGAAGGCGGAAATTGATAGATCGCATAAAACGAAATTCTTCGATAAACTGCCAACGCGAATATCGGATTTTATGTACGCCATTTTTGAGATTGCGGTGTGCGAGAATCGTTGGCCTCGCAAGTAAAGACAGTGCCGCCATTTTTACCAAGATTAACGAAAGTGGGTGCCTTCTAAATTCGCTGTGTTGCCATTAGAAGTATTAAGTAAGTATTAAGTAGCGTGAAAGAGGAGATCGGACAGCTGACAATTTTCAAACGTATTGAATTTTTCGTTTCGGTGCATTATTGAATGAAGTTGTTCATATTTAAATAAATTGTTACCACGAAAGCGTTAGGGTCCAGGGTGCAAAACATTTCGTTTCGCCAGATTTGTAGTGGCAAGTTACGTAAGAAACCAGTTTATTAATCACAGTTGAACAATCAAAAATGAATAAAACGGATACCGGTAAAAAGTTTGCAGATAATTAATTATGTTTGTCGTTAAAACTTTAAGTTACAAGGGTGATATTTACACATTGCGGAACATTGGTAATTTAGTGAATAGCTCAAAGATCAACTAATTAAATCAAAGTAAGCCTGATGCGCAGGTTGTCCGGAATCAAATTGCGTCAACCATACTTTAAAATTCATTTAAGAAATCGGTTCACCTGGTAATATAAGAGGCCGGATCATATTGCCCAAGGCATTTCAACATCCAATTTTCCAAATCGTTGCTGCCTTTCAATGGAGAAATCCAACTGACAATTGGAGAAAATTTTAATGCATCGATAAAAGTAAGTTCCTTTGAATTTTTGTATTGTATAAAAATAGGAATCGATCGTTTTTGGAAATTGTGTATAAAAACCATGTTTGTCAAAAGTCATTTTTACATTCCTGAAGAGATCGATTACTTGGGGGTGTTTCTTTGTGTAAATGGTAAGCGCACCCAGACCGGAGATATTGGTAATTTCTTTTTCTCATTAATTGTAAAGTTAGAATTTCAGCAATGACAGTCTTTTTTAGCGCATTCGACCCTTCACGGTAGTCTAATGGAAAGTCTTATCGAAATGAATGACTTTGTACAAAGTATAACTTTCCTGACTCCTTTTCGAGATCAGTAGGTGACGGGGGAGGGAGGCTCTTAACATACATATCAACTGTACATAGACTAAGGAAAGTTTTAAATTTATATTGCATTGTTAATGTGCTAGCCCTATTAGTTTCCTGTTAAGTGGTCATGGTTTGCCAGATTGAAATGATTTAATGGAAGAGATGTGTTCATATAGCTATAATAAATTTAAAAATTATCAATTGAAATACTAGCAATCCATAAATGCAGTAAATAAATATGTGGCGAAAGTACAATTATGACCTAAAAAGAAATCAGTGCGTGAAGGGGATGCACATCATTAAATTTGAAGCGACACTGTATCGAACTCATTTGCATTCTTGGAAGATTATCCCTTAAATTTCCGAATTAATTCAGTGTTCAACCAAATGAAAATCAAAAGTGGTAATTGTGAATTAATAGATAATTAAGCGGAGAAAGGTATCTCTTAATTAATGAAAGTATCACTATGATATGCACTCATTTCCGGGATAAGAGTCATGATTGCATGGTTTTCGCGCAGGAAAGGACCATTACCGACTCCCAACGGGTCTCGAAAACGCGCGCATAATTAATTAGACATTTAACCTGAGGGAGCGCCTTCAAATCTGGCCCCAGAATAGAAAGCATCCTTAATGCTTTCAACGATATTACGATGTTAAGATATTGGAAATCAGTTGGCGCACACTTTCCACACTTGATCTTAGGAAGATTGTGATCTCTGTGAAATTCCTACGAATCGATGCTCGCGTAATCGGCAGAAGTGATTTTGCACGACATGCCAGCGATCTGAAAGGTTCAGAAAGAGGATAATTGGTTGTGAGGATCCATTAAACTAAAAAAGGGTAAGTTAATGAGACAAGAGAACAAATAGCGAAAGCACCGCATCGATTTGAAAGTGAACGCAATTTTAATCTCGGTTTTATTAAATTTTCGTAATATTATTCGTACGTGAAATTAATTGGAAACCGCAAACTGAAAGTTATTTGCATAAATCACACCTTTGTTTTACTCCACCCGTGTATAAATAAATCCAAAGGCCCCTGGGGTCAACTGAAACTTATATTACATTTTAATCTAATAAATGAGTCGCTACGTAATCCATTATGTAATTTTATCTGAATATTTTAGATGCGGCACGAAACTAATTTAAAAGATTGAAAAGAACACAATGCTATTCTCCTTACAACATTCTGAAGTTAAAAACATTTTTTTACAACCTTGGAAGGTTGCCATATATTTCTAATTATGCCATTAATTCTGTGTCAATGTGACGTTAGGTTTGCTACTTAAAATAATTCATATTCAAAACCGAGGCAGGCATTTACGGATGGATAACAATGCGAATTAATTTATACATCAACCATTTTAGGTTCATTTAGTAACTGTGTCGACGGAAAATGTATTCTCATTTCAATTATGCATATGGAACCATTTTTACTAATATGAACAATATTATTTTTTAAATTTCATTTGAGTTACGTGACACAAATAAGCCCCCCCCCCCAGGTAGATCATGAAATTAATAAAAATTACCAGAATTAACCGTTTTCATCAAAAACTTGCGGGAAAAGCCCTGAATTTCTCCATTTAAAGTTCACTTCATTTCCTTGAAATGTGAGGATATATTAGTCCAAGTTTCATGATTACTTTTAAGTTGGTTAAAGTGTGGGTAACATTCCTGAGTGCCAACTTCAGTTTCTTAAGAGGTTATGTTGCTTTCCACAATTTAATAAACATTAGAGAATGTTGTACAAGTAGAATGTGCTTCTAATTATATACCATACTAGCGGTAAGTAATTATCTACATGTTTTACATATTTCAAGTGGACTTTATTTAGAGATGGGCAGCAATTTATTCCTTCAAAGTTAATCGACGGTCGCTAACAAAGAGGCGATCTATGCAATGCCAGAGATATTCCTTCCCCTCTCGAGTGTACAAGGCGATCGATGTTAAGCAGCGGTTGATACGAAAAAGACGTTCGAAGTTAAGCAGTGGTCTATGGAGGATGCTAAAGATGTTCCTTTCCCTTTTGAATGATAATGAGGAGGCTTTAGAAGTTAATCGGCGGTTAATACGAAAGAATTGGTAAATGGAACATGCAGGAGGTGCGGATGCCCCGGTTTCCCTTCTCGGCATTCTAATTTAGACTGTATGCGCTTCTAGCAGTGGTTTTATTCAAATGTATCCACAAGCAAAACCCACAATTGTATTGTATATTATACCTATTATACTACCTTTATTTCATTGGTTAGTATACACGTTAAACCCAGCATATTTCAATATAGAAAAAAATATAAGAAACATAAGATTTCGACGAAATGAACTGAACTTTAAATTAAGATTATGGAAAATTTAGGACTTCTCCCGTAATTTTTACATTTTTTTTGTTGAAAGCCATTTTTATTAATTTCAAGATCGTACCTGGTGGGGAGGACTCAGTAGCATCACATACTCTTGATTTGATTTTAATTTTCGAAGAATAAAGTTTCAGGCTACTCAACCTACGGCACCAACAAAATCACCTAAAATCCTCATTAGCATTATAATGAAAAGAATAGAAAGAAGTATAGAATATATTTTGACTGATGATCAATTTGAATTTTGGAAGGGGAGAAGTACGAAAGAAGCTATCTTGGCCCTTATCGAAGCGTAATTGAAAGACTGTATAGAGAGCAGATTGCTATAGTGAGGTGCGGGGAACAAGCAGTAAGGCATGCTAAGGGATGCTCACTCTCACCTCCCTCGTTAAATGGTTACATTAAAAAAAATGTTGATGGCGGGAAAATGAAAGGCAGAGAGGGTGTGAAGGTCCAAGGAAGAAGAATCCACATTCTGCGTTTTGTAGATGATGTAGAATTGCTAGCTGAGACAGAAGAAGAAGTTGAAGAATTTCTCGAGGAAATTTGCCAGAAACATTACTTTTTTAGATTCCAGATTGCAGTTATGCCCCCTAGCGGTCATTTCAGAAACTTAAAAATATTTTCCAGGTTTTGCTCGTGGCCGTTTTAGTAATAAATTTTTTACCGCAAGCCTCTACGATGGATAGATTCTCAGATACAGTACCTCGCATTCTTAGTTGCTCGGTCACGCGGTTGACAATTTGGTTTACGCATGCGCAAATGAAAATTCACGCAGACGCTTTGATCATATTCTTTATACCGAAATAATCGATTATTATTAAAGATAATTAATTATCCACTTCATAAAGCAAGAAAGATCTATTAAAGAACTTGCGATTGCGACATATTACTTTTGTAAAATCGTTCACCTTGGCATACTGCTCTACTAATTCAACTACAAACACAAATGGAAGGAAATCCGGAAATATTTCATTCATATTAGCATTCGCTTCGCGGCCCGCACGCAATGCTATAAACAATAAAAGTTCACAAAACAAATTGCGCGTTACAGTATAATTTACTCGACGTGCGAGGGATGTAAGGAATTAACGTATTATGCGAGGTATGAAAATTGGGCTATTGTACAAGGATTATTTTGAAATAATTAAGTTATTTCGTAGCTTGGCACTAAAAGTAAATTACAAACCCGATGCAACTTAATCCAGATTACTCACGGTATCTATTTCGGGATCGTGAATTTAAAAGGTTTATATCCTGCATGCACGTACCTGCATTATATCAATTTGTTTCGAAAAGTGTAAGTGCACTCACCGTCATCGGCGTACGTTTCGGAACCGTAACCATCCTGAAGGCCGTTGGCCCACGTGCCCTCGTATTTCGCCGTTGATGTGTTGGACTGCCGGACGCCGTATCGTCCTTTAAATCCCTGAGTCCATTCTCCCCTATATATCCAGCGTCCTCGAGTCTCCACGCCCAAACCATGTCTTTTACCATTTTGCCATTGACCTTCGAAAGCGCTCCCACTGTGACATGCAAGAAAAACATTATCAATAGTAATTGGATGCGTCTAGGCAATGTTTGTGTAGTCCCGAATGGGTTTCACATAAAATCGGGAGTAATGACATGGAGGATCGCACAATTACTTCTATACATATAGGAGGGACATTTTATATTTTTGATAGTCACCATTTAAGTAGGTATCATCGTTTCACAATCACATGCGAGCATTCGCTCTCTGTAATTTAGATGCTAATTGGTTCTATTCTAGACAGACGTGCTATAATGAAATTTTGGTATAACGAACGAACAACACGAACAAGAAATTTAATTTTCCGGGCGCCACAGACACCAAATGGAGAGCTTTGGAACTAACCGGTGTAGTTCGGATTCGTAATACTAAAATTGTTTTAAACGTTTGTATCCAAAGCACATTCATGAACAAGTAATCTGTAGAATATTAATTTCGAACAAATTTGGCCTTTTGGTGGTGGAAAAGGTTTAGAATAATGTATAAAATCCGCTAAGAACAAACTTTCATACTTTGCTTGATTGCTTACAATCTAAACAGAAAAGTTCTTCGTTCGGAAAAGGTACGTCCAGAATTCGCCTGAGAATTTAGTGCAGTGTCATTTCCCATTTCCAATCTACAGCTCCATTCGATGATTTTCCCGAAATACTGTCGATGTAACGAGGGTGTTTCATGTCAACATTGTCATTTGCAAGAGGACATTGGTTATATGAGGAGCTGTTATTTTATTTTTGTTAAAAATTAAGGGTCGCTTAGTAGGAAAAATCGTCGCAACTTATATAATCAATTGAAGTTTCAAATTAAAAAAAAATGAATCTGTATTTTCTTAAATATAACAACCTCTGGAAAAATTTGACATTGTTTGTATTGCATATACTCGAGCATTTACTGTTGTGCAAACCAGGTCATCTAGACGTTATTTCGACCTAAACATAAAATATAATGACGGGACACCCTGTATATAAGTGTAAGCAATATGAATGTTGGAGGACGGCGAGATCTCATCGGCGGCTCCGGTGTTCTTGTTTATGTAGCAAGAGTGGTCCGGGGAAAGGATGGAATACGCACAACAAAACGTATTGTAGAGCAGTTAGAGTTAGACATTATTATTTTATGAACTGTATTAGTTTGAACTTCTTATTCTTCATTCTTATTAATAAAAATACTTATATAAGAATATTTCAATTTATCAAGTAAATGCGGGGCGTTATTTACGAAATAAACACAAAGTGAGTTCGTTTCATTTGAATTGTATTTCAGTGTTTGTTTTCCTTCTGGAATTAACTGTTTTAGTTTTAATTTTATCACTTTTGCAAATTACAGTAACTGCTCGTTCGGTACACCCAGTATTCCGGTATTTAGTGACTCAGATGAGGATGACTACTCTAGAATCCGGCCCTTTGAGCTTTTTTGGAAAATTTGCAGGTATTACGAAAAATTGCGCGTTTGATGAAGAGAAGTGGGAGCGTTTGGCGCGTTCCGTTGTGGCTGGCGTTTATGGAATCTAATTGTGCCTGGCGATTTATTTGAAAATTCATGAGGAAGGAATTTTTTGTTGGAAGTGGTGTTTCCTTACCTAGTGGAGACAACAAAAAACGAGGCTGTTTGTTTCACGACGGTTGAAGAGCGTGTACATTTGTTTACGATAAATTCTCGGGCGGTCAGCCTTATTTGTTTTATCTAAAAACGTAATTCGTCGGTATCGAAACAAAGTGTACAGAATCAAGTTAACTAAAGTGGTGTAATAACGCATGTTGTCCGATTCCAGAAAAGGTTTTGACGAGTTGAAAAAAACAAGCACTTGTAGTACAGCGAGGTCTTTCGTTAAGGTTCTGTTCCTATTAAAATGTTAAAATCTTTCTACCGTCCGAAGAGCTACCAAAAATCTGTCATCAAATTCAAGTGAAGGTTTTTAAAAACTGTTTTATTTGGATTGTTAAGCAAAAACTAAGTAATTTAAAGATTTCTTATTTTAATTGTCTACCGCCTGCGTGCGGAGTAATATGTTGAAACAAGCTTTGTAAGCTTTCCTTTCTTTCAGGGATTTTCTTTTAATTTTTTCATGTGTTTCGGAATAAATTTGTATCATCAATCGATTAGTTGTGTGTTTATTCGGCTCCATTATGTGAGAGAGTTTTCATGTCTGATTTTTTGCGCCCAAGAAATATGTCAGGCGTGAACATTTGTGTAGTTAATTCTTTGGAATTTTCGGAAGTTGATCGAAACTACCGAGTCTCACAAATTTTAAAGTCAACATTGAGATTTTTCATTGAGACGGGAGTCGGGAAATTGTAAATTATAAACAAAATGAATTATAATAAGTAAGAAGTTTCCCAAACATTTCGTGATCGATGAAAACGTAAACCCCTACTACTTGCTGTGAAAAAGAAGAAAAAAAATTGTACTTATGTAGAGATGTACATAACTCAAACATCCGTTGTAACGGGAGCCCGCGTACTTTTTGTTTACTTTTTTGGTAGTCGGAACGATGTTAAGAGTGTTTTCTGCAAATCTAGAGTTTAAACTTGAGATGCTTTAGGGTTGCGCGCTTTTTGGTACCGAGTATTACAAGGTACATAGGGTGGTTTCATAAGAGGGCTAGCCAAAGTTGTGTTTTTTAACGTAAGTCAATGACTTCTCACTAAATTTGTCACTGTTTTCTCAGTCAATGGTTGCCGGATTGAGTGAGAAAGCTAGTAGCGCAGGTTTTATGTGAGATTAGGTACAGTTAATTGGTTATAGGTGTCAGTTTCTGATGATTCGGATCCGTATCACCGCTTACTCAGTGATTCTTAACTCCAAAGGTTTCCATCTAATGGCTTTCCTTAAAAGTGAGATTGGTCAAAAAGGATTAAGCTTATTGCTTGAACGCATAAAGAGCCTCTGAAATCGATTATTCTCCATTTTGAAGGCGTGGTTGTAAAAATGGAGGAAGTAGAGGGATCCAGCAAAGAAAAATTTTAGGCATTGAATGCGTTGGTGTGGGTTCCGGAATAATTAAATGAAGCGTGATAACACGTTGGCGCTCGTGACGATAGGTTACGTGTGAGTGCCGCACAAACGCCAGATCACGAACTTTCGTATCAAATTTGTGTCCAACGGAAACTTCAATGACGCAGTTTTTTTTGTTTAACAATTCTAGAGAAAAAAACAATTCAACTTCTGCAAAGCAGTGCCCAAGTTTTCCATTCAATGAGTTCCAAAAATAATGACATTCAGAGAACACGAGCGTAAAACCATATACGCAGACCAGAAATTTAAAGTAAATTCATCTTTTTATACTTTTATATTCAATCCATTTCGGTGACAATAAGGGTATAAAAGATCTTGTTATTTTATTAAAACTCACGTGGAAGTGCAATAAAGGTGGGTGGAGGTCTTTACTAATCTTGGGTGAAGTCCAGTTATTTTAAAAAATAAACTGGTAAACGGGAATCGAAGGACTCGATAGATGGACTTTTACGTTGACCCCTGCAACTCTGATATCACCTTTGATCTCACTTTACTTCGAGCAAGAGAAATCTATATACCAAAACCGAGTAGACGTCGGCTGGATGATAGAATTGAATGCATAATTCTTTGCCAAAATCTATGGTTTGACATTAAGGACACATTGGAGCGTAAAATAAGAATGAATAAACATTTTAGTTTAGGACACATAGGTACCTACAATAGAAGACCTCCCGAAGGATGAAAGGAATAGAAAATTAAGAATTTATATTACACGATTCGATTTGAAACACGCACATTTTATTTCCTCCACTCCAGAGAAACCCGAGTATTTTAACAAGGAAACTGAATACGTCTGAAAAAGATCAAATTTTTCCTTGATTGAAGTTTAGCCTTCGAACAAAATTGATGTACAAAGTTGACGTCGGACATCCAAAAGCGGTCCTTTCTTTATCGAATTACCTCACTTCACCTTCTCTTCAATTCGATTTTACGAGGAATAAGCGGCACCTAACAGGCAATAAAGCGCTCATTTGATTCCTCTCGTAAATTTGTTATTACTAATAGAATTCGAAAAGCTCTTTGTCTGAGGCGCATTATCTCCCTGTCCTCTTATTCCAAACGTTTACGATTTTCGTAGTTGCGAAAAGGAAATGATACGGTCGGTTCGAATTAATAAATTTACTGTTTATTTTCACGTTCAACCATTACATTCGATCTAAAGATGATGGATCCCAGTGTTTCCTTTCGTTTGGAGATGTCAGATAATGCGAATTTCAATTTTGTGTTAAGCAATGATTTATAATAATGTAACCATCCTAGATTTTAGCTAGTGTTTGTAATAGGAACCTTTCCTAACCGAAGCTAATCGCCACGTTTATGTAGTAGGACCATAGACCATACTACCGGGTGACGCAATAAGCCAGGGGGCTAGTTTTGACACTATGACCCAAAATTGTAAAAAAATCAAAAAAATTAAATGGTCATTCCATTTGATTTTTTAATGACTTTTTCTTTCTGAAAGTGAAAACCGTTTTTCAAAATCTGTAGTCCTTTTCCAAAAAATCTTTCGCGCCATCGACAAATACCGGAAATACGTCAAATAAGATACAATTTAAGCATTTTTATTAATTAATTAATTAATCTCATTTTCCAAGTATTTGAAGTTAGGAACGAAATTTTGAAAAACGGTTTTCACTGGACTCTCTTTGGATGTTATTTGGCTACTTTTTCACAAAGAAAAAGTCATATCATTCCATTTGATTTTTTGATTTTTTTACGATTTTGAGTCATAGTGTCAAAACGACCCCCCTGGCGGAGAAGGATTCAACTAAATTAACTATATATATACCAAATTTGTTACAATCGGTCAAACGGTTAAGAAGTTAAAGCAGGTTATTGCAAAAACAATTGAACCCCATGCCGCATCCGTTGTTGGAATTGCGGAGAAATTGGGCATTTCCAGAATCGATGGTGAAAGGCTCGTGGGAGACCGGTCAAAAGAAAATCAGAAAAGATGTCTCTGAGACGACGCAGAAATGATCG